GTAGAGTGGCTTTGTGTAGTAGGTGTCCTGTAGGGTCCAGTGGCTCAGCCTCCCCAGTCACCTGAGCTGGGCCTTCTAGGTGCTCCCCTGTGTGGGCTGTGTGCACTGTCCTGTTGTAGTTGAGTCTTGGTTGCTATTGGCGTCACTGGGAGGAATTGAGCCCCAGGCCAATCAGCTGTGACGACCAGCTGCAACTACAACCAAAGAGCTACTGTGCTGGAGACCCCCCCCTATGGAGCAGGATTTACTTCAGTGGAGCTTTGGTGTTCACCAAGTGCGCCCCTTGAGTGTGTCACTCGTGGATGTGGTAGGGTTGTAATCCAGTGTGGTCGAGGCCGACCACCAGGTGCACTGTCTCTGGGGCCTCCTTGGAGGTGCAAAGTCAGCCTCTGCCAGTGCGTTGCCCAGGGCCACCCAGAATGAGCTACAAAGCAACCCGTAGTTGGCTGCTACTTGTGCTGGGCTTGGAAGTGTCCGGGAGAGGCCAAGCTATGAGCCAATGCAGGCTGCCGCTAGTGCCAGGCCTGGGGCCACTTATCGAGTATGGGGCCCGCTGCTGCTTGTTTGAGAGATTTTAGGAAAGTCCTAAGCATAAGGCTTGAGAGGCCACTTGCAGAGAAAAGCCACTGGAAATGGCCTGGATAAGCCTGCAGGTGGGGAGGGGCGGGGCCGGGCCTCCAGGAATCTCAGGGCGGGGCCAAAGGTGTGGGTCGGGTGCTGGCGATTCAAATATGGCGCCTGCCTTCGGGCTGTGTTCGGGGAGGACTCGCCAAAGGAGCAGTGGCCTCCACCAGCTCTTCTGCCTGAGAGGAAGCTGCCCCTCCAGCTCTTGCCCCGATTTCAGGCAGGTTAGTTCCTCCCCAAGTGTCCCAGGTCCTTTCAGGCTGCTGCCCGGTGCTGGGCTCAGAGGGAGCTCGTCTGAGTGAGTCCATGTGCGGGCCCTTTAAGAGGAGCTGCTGGGGCTCCCGCAGCCTCCGTGACCCTCGGTGACAGTCCCCGCTGGTTTCATAGCCCGGAGTTGTGGGGACTTTCCCTGGCCCTGGAGCCCTGGGTTGGGAGCCTGATGTGGGGCTGGGACCCCTCACTCCTCCAGGAAACCTCCCCCGCAGAGATGTACTCCTGAGTTTAAACTGCGGCACCGGGTGTGGGCCCGCAGCCACGTCTCCGGAATCCACCCCCAGTCCGTCCGAGTCTCTGCCCCTCCTACCGGTCTTATTGCTCCTTCAGTTCCCTGGTTGTAGGGCTTCTGTTCAGCCAGATCTCAGGAGGCACTGAGTGATGGTGGTTCTGTATTTTAGTTGTGATTTTGATGTGGTTGTGGGAGGCAGTGGGTGCAGCTGTTAACTATGCCGCCATCCTGTTTTTCTCCAAGGCCCCCATATTTCTTGTGAAGGGATGTGACCTAACATGCCAGTCGTGTCAGGATTAATGATATATCACATAAATTGATACCATGTGATTAAAAAAACAGGACTTTGTCTAAGTCAACAGGTAATTCCCTATTTAAAATTCCCTAAATAAAAACAAAAACAGAGGAACTGTTGTCTTGCTGGAAAGATGTACATATACTTCCAGAAAATGAATTAAGAGATGGCTTTGCTTTAATTTTCATGATTCTCTTAGGACAGTGAGCTACCTTTCCTGGGAGGGGTCTAGAGTTACAATTTTGGTTACATTTTTAGATCAATGCAATCCTTTTTTTCCCCCCCAGCCACAAATTTCTGTTGTAACTGTAGTAAGATGAATCTAATTTTGCATTCTTATTTATGCTAATATTTCTTTACAGGTGATTTTTGATGGGCACAAAAGTCTTCTCTGAAGAGCATTGTACAGTTACTGAAGGATGGCAGAAGCAGTGTTGATTGATCTCTTTGATTTGACACTGAACTCTCAGAAAAACTTTCAGACATTACTGAAGACATTGAACGCTGTTCCACACCACCATGCGGCCAAGACCAAGTTCCGCTGCATAATGTGTTGCAGTAACATCAGCTGTGAAAGGAACAGTGACCGTGATTCTTATGATTTAGAAACAAGCAATGGGTTATCAGCTCTCTTGAGAGAATTTGAGACTGTTAGCAATCCCAGTATGGCTGCCTTGTTGTATACCATTAAACAAAAAATTGATGAAAAAAATCTCAGCAGCATTAAGGTAATTGTACCCATGCACCGGAAGGCATTAATGAAGGCTTTTATTGATCGACTCTTCACCGATGTTTACAATTTTGAGTTTGAAGATTTACAGGTAACTTTGAGGGGAGGTCTTTTGAAACAGTCCACGGAGATAAACATGATCACAACTCAAGAACTAGAAGCTATACAGAATGAAATAGAAACGTATTTGAGAAGTCTGCCAGCACTGAAAGGAGAATTAACCATTATCACATCTCCTTTGATCTCAGGTATATTACACACTATCTGTTGTCTTCACCATGTAGGTGAAAAACCAGTGGTTCTTTAGAAGTCGTTCACTTCTTTTTTTCCTTCTTTCTTTTGAGTACTGTCTAGGCTGATGTGCTCATTAGCATCAGTTGCAACATGGGAATGTCATGGATGGTTTTATAGTATTAGGGATGTCAAGAGATAGTCCCTTTAAAACCGTCTACATAGATAAGTTTGCTTTGTGCAAATTCAGCTTTAAGACAGATCCCCAGGCTTCCTTTAAAATGAGATTTCCTATTTAGCAGTTCTGAAACCTTAAATTCATTGGCATCATTATGGAACAGTGAAATTTTAAACGGTCAATCTTACGCCTTGGTTTAATGATATTTACTATGAGCTATATGCTATTGTGGATAACAAAGACAAATGGGACAGAAGATACCCTTTGAGGAGCAATTACTCCATAGGAATGCTAAGACAAACACAAAGCAGTGCATAATACGTGGAGGGACAAAGTGCTATAAAAATTAGGTGCCAGATAAATGCAGGTTGAAGTGATCAGGGAAGGTCTTAACCAAGAGATAGGGTCTGTAATGCTTTTTATAGTTTTTTGCATAGTGTATTTTTAATCTTTACTGCTTATCTTCAGCAGATATTTTCATACATGGATTTACTACAAGAACAGGTGGGATATCTTATATACCAACTCTCAGCTCATTCAATCTCTTCAGTAGTTCCAAACGGAGAGATCCCAAGGTAGTTGTTCAAGAGAATCTGCGTAGATTGGGAAGTGCTGCAGGATTTAATGTGAAGAAATTTTACCGAATAAAGGTAAAATTGTGTTTCATATTTTAGAAGATCTAAAGTATATTATTGACTCTGCTAATGTTTAGTGGACTTAAATCAAGCTACTTAACTTTTGCATCTGGCGTTTTATCTAAAACTTTAGGATAATGCTTTCAGTTGATCAGTATACCATAGCCTACAAATCAATTCTATGTGTTTTTTTTATTTATTTATTTATTTATTTATTTATTTATTTATTTATTTTCCCACATGGAGCTCCTCACATCTAAAAGTACAGTTAATTCTCAGCATATTACTACTGCCCTTTTTGATTTAGAAGGAAGGTTTCTGAACTGTGGAAGAGAAAGGCCATTATTTTCTAAGTTAACACCAGGGTACAATTGATGAGATAGTGCTTTGTTTGTTACAGAATTCCAGCTTTAATTGAGCCTAGGAAAAGTAAAAATACATTGACTTGGTAATTCATTTCTTTCAATGAATTAGTTCACTTTGAAAAGTACTGCACGCAGAGACTTACCCATCTCTAGTAGTAGGTATTTGTAATGGACAGTATTGAATTTTTAAATGTTAAAGTCTGCTTTCCTTTGAATAAAATATGCAGAGATTATAATACCAAAAGTTAAATGATAAGAAAGTTTGGTATTTTACCATATATAGAAGTGATATATTTAATGAATGCTAGTAATTTTAAACCGGTTATATAATTTTGTACAAAATGAATACTTTCAGAAAAGCTTATGGTATGAGAAATCCTACTTTCAAAACATTTTTATTGCACATCTTTGGTATTAGACTGATCATGCCAATGACGTCTGGGTTATGGGAAGGAAGGAGCCTGAATCCTATGATGGAATCACCACAAATCAGAGAGGAGTCACAATAGCAGCTCTTGGTGCTGACTGTATACCGATAGTTTTTGCAGATCCTGTCAAAAAAGCATGTGGGGTTGCTCACTCTGGTAAGTTAACTTAATTAAGCATTTAGAATTTTGCCATTTTGTAATACAGGAAAAATTATAATTTTTTTCTGGAAGGCGTAACACAGTTAATTGCTTTAGGTGGTGATAAGAGTAAAGATAGGGGTAGGTTCAGCATACTCCTATTATAGAAGCAGATAAAAGGAATAACTAAGTCAAACTATATGAATCAGAGTAGAATTCCCCCCAAAAGTAGTACCTATGCTGATTCCTGAGGAATTGATAGAGTTTGGCTAGGTACCAGTGTTTCTCAGGAGGGATGCCAGTAACATTTTGGGTAAGGTAAGCTTACATGCAGACACTTTGCTTGGGTTTTGGAATTCCTGATTACTGTAATTAAAAAAAAAAAAAAAAAAAGCCTTTATGCTTTTCAAACACTCCTCAGGGTGTGGTGCTGCCANGTTACTGTAATTAAAAAAAAAAAAAAAAGCCTTTATGCTTTTCAAACACTCCTCAGGGTGTGGTGCTGCCAATGAGAAGCCATGAAGTCTAGGCAGTGAGGAATAGGAAGGTTAGGCATGTTGCAGAAAGGTGTTCATTAAGATGCAGCAGCATGTGTAAAGGTACTGAGGTAAAAAAAAGTGAGAAATATTTGGAAAATTGCATTTAGTTTAACATGCTAAGAACAAAGAAGGATTTTTAGATGATGTGTTAAGGTTATGGAATTTTGTTTTCTGGAGGCGTTTTAAAATACTATTTTAGATTATCCAATGGTTATGTACCTATGTGAAGTGAGGGATGATCTTTTGGATTTCCTTCTACTTGTAAATCTATGACTAATTTGCTTTTTAGGCCATGGATAAATAAGAAAGGAGCTAAAGTAATGAAATTAGATGACTAGAAGTCAGGATTGCTACTTGACATTGCTAAAAGTTATTTAAAATTTATTTCCTGGATATAAAAGGAATATTATTTGTTACTTCTTAGGTTTTAATACATTTTTAAAATATCAAAGATAAAGCTGTCAAAAAGAAACTATTGAAAAAGAACAAAGAGGTCTCACACTTCCTGATTTCAAAACTTATGATGTTACAGTAATCGAAGCAATGTGGTACTGGCATGAAGACAGATATATAGACCAATAGAATAGAATAGAGAGCCCAGAAATAAATCCTTGTATTTATGGTCAAATGATTCTTTACCAGGTACCTAGACTATACAGTGGGAAAAGGACAATTCTAACAAATGATACTGGGAAAAACTGGATATTCACATGCAAAAAATGGATGGTGGACCAATTATCTTATATATAAAAATTAACTTAAAAATGGGTCAAAGAAGTAAATATAGAGCTAAAGCTATAAAATTCAAAGAAGAAAACAAGTGTAAATTCTTATGATCTTGGATTGGGCGGTGTTTATTTTTTATTTTCATTTTTAAAAAATATATCTTCATTGATTTCAGAGAGAGGAAGGGAGAGGGAAGGAGAGTTGAACATCAATGATGAGAAAGTTGTCATTGATCAGCTGCCTCCTGCATGCCCCCTACTGAGGGTTGAGCCCACAACCCAGGCATGTGCCCTGACCAGGATTGGAACCAGATCTCCTAGATCATAGGTCGATGTTCAACCTCTGAGCAACGCCAACGGGGCTTTTTTTTTTTGGCAGTGTTTTTTTAGATATGACAATAAAAGCACAAGCAACAGTTAAAAATTTTGGATTTCATCAAAATTTAAACTTCTCTGCATCAAAGGACACACAACAAAACAAAAAGATAGCTCATGGAGTAGTTGAAAATATTTGCACTTCATATATCTGACAAGGGGTTAATATACAGAATATATAAAAAACTCCTACAACTCCACAACAACAAAAACAACCTGTTTAAAAATAGGCAAAGTACTTGACTAGACATTTCTCTAAAGACAGTATACAAATAACTTACAAGGATATGAAAAGATTCTCAGCATCACGAATAATTAGGAAAATACAAATGAGAACCACAATGAGATATCACCTGACACCTAATAGGGTGGCTAATAGTAAAAAAATAAATAAGTTTTGGTGAAGATGTGGAGAAATCAGAACCCTGATGCGCTGCTGGTGGGAATGTAAAATGGTGCAGCTGCTATGGAAAATGGTATGGTGTTTCTTCAAAAATTTTAAAATAGAATTACCATATTATCCAACAATTCTGATTCTGAGTATGTATTCAAAGTAATTGAAAGCAGTATCTCAATAAGATATTTGTACACCCAACTAATAGTAACATTATTCACAAGAGTTAAGATGTTGAAGTAACTCAAGTGTCCATTGATACATTAATGGATAAACAATGTCTGGTATATACATAAAATGGAATATTATTCAACCTTAAAAAAGAAGGAAATTCTGATGCATGTTACAACATGAATAAACCTTGAGGACATTATGCTAAGTGAAATAATCTAGTTATAAAAAGAAAAACACTGTATGAGTCCACTTATATGAGGTACCTGGAGTAGTCAAAGTGATAGAAACAGAAAGTAGACTGGTGGTTGCCAGGGAATAGGGGGAAGATGGGAAGGGAGATTTATTGTTCAAAATTTGTATATTGCATAGAGTTTCAAGTTTGAAGATGAAAAGGTTGTGGAGATTTGTAGCACAAAAATGTAAATATACTTTACTAAATGGTCACTTTAAAATGGTTAAAGTGGTAAATTTTATATGTTTTTTTACAATTTTTAAAAATGTGGAAATAAGGGAGGGGGAGAGAGAGGACTAAGAAAGGCATAATGCCTGTGGAAACTAAAAGTAAGGATGTTTTTATTTTATTATTATTTATTATTTATTTTTTTACTATGTTTTTATTGATTTCAGAGAGAGGAAAGAAGAGGGAGAGAAAGAAACATCATTGATGGGAGAGAGTCATTGATCAGCTGCCTCCTCCATGTCCCCACTGGGGAACGAGCCTGCAGCCTGGGCATGTGCCCTGACTGGGAATCGAACCTCCACGTCCTGGTTCATGGGCTGATGCTCAACCACTGAGCCATGCCGGCCAGACAAAGTACAGGACGTTTTTAAAAGAAAATGGAAGGGGCACCCCTCCCCCATTAAATGTCTCTTTTGTGTCAGGTGCTATGTATAGAGTACCTCATTTAAAAACTAGCATTTTAATTTGTTGATTATTTAACTTAATTTTGTTCATTTATTATTTCTTAACTTGAAAAAAACACAAACTGACTGTACTTATTTTTAATTTAGATAAAAATTAAGGTGAAGTTGCCCTGGCTGGTGTGGCTCAGTTGGTTGGAGCATCGCCTGTACCAAAAGGTCTCAGGTTCGATTCCCAGTCAGGCCAATCGATGTTTCTCTGTCACATCAATGTTCCCGCCCCCCACCCCCAATAAATAAATAAATAAAAACATATCCTCGGGTGAGGATTTAAAAAAATTAAGGTGAAATTTCGTTATGTTTTAACTGTCCTTATCTCTTTTTCTTCCTATTTACCAGGTTGGAAAGGTACTTTGTTAGGTGTTGCTATGGCTACTGTGAATGCTATGATAGCAGAATACGGTTGTAGTCTGGAAGATATCATTGTCATACTGGGACCATCAGTAGGACCTTGCTGTTTTAGTCTTCCGAGGGAATCAGCAAAGGCATTTCATAATCTTCATCCTGAATGTGTGCGGCTATTTGACTCACCAAATCCCTATGTTGACATTCGTAAAGCCACCAGGTATGATTGGTTTCATTCCAGAACTGCAAGTTTTTAATGAAAATTAATTTAGAGAACAGTTAGTAACTCCAAGAAAAATCATGTGGCAGATATTCAAATAGCTGACATATACTATACACACAAAACTAATTTTAAATATGAAATCTATTCTCATCTAAGTTTTAATAACAGACATTTTCCTGGCTGGTATTTCTTACTGACTTAAAAGTAAAGGTTAAACTTCATATAGAAAAGCTGGCACGTATCTTACTTCATAGTTATTCTTCAGCTAAATTCTCCTAAATATAATAAACTATCAGGAAGCTGATATTTCAAAGTTATTTGTATTCTCTAATTAACTAGGGGAACATATTTCTTAGCAAAAATATTAGATAATATAAACACATAGTCATTTTCAAGTTTTTTATGGTCCCTAACATTTTTTAATTTATCAAGTTTTGCTATTAATAGCTGTTAAAAATTATCCTTTTTACAAAGGAAAATTGATGTCTGATTTGAATCATGTTTCTATTCCACTCACCTAAACCTTGACTAGATTCTGTCTCATTGAGCACATAAGCAGAAAGGGTTGAAATCGACCCTTAAACATTACTTGTGGAATGACTATCATTAATTTATAGTCATATTTCATATAAAGTCTTATGAAGAAGCAAATTTTCTGTGAAAAAATTGGTAATAAGGGAAAAAAGATGGGAGGATCAAATGACTAAAAGGCACGCTCTGTCCGAATCAAATGAATTTTTGTCTATAAATACCCTGGTAACTTTAAAGTTTCTTCTAAAATAAGTACTTGACATTTATTACAAAATTCTGTACCCATATCATGTCTGCAGGACAATATGAAAGGTTATATAGTTCGTATATGAACTTAGGTGACAAATGGTGATAAAATCTACCATTTCCTGACTAGTCCATGTTCTATAACCGAATAACAATTTGCATTGTTCCAAGAATATCTTTCCCAGAATTCTTTTACACCAATATCCATACTTATTTCATAATGCTTTGGCTATTGGTAAAACAAATTTGCTATCTTTTGGAAACTCTTTATCTTAAGGATTCTTCTAGAACAAGGAGGAATTCTGCCACAGAATATTCGGGACCAGGAGCAAGATCTCAACCTCTGTACATCCTGCCATCCTGACAAGTTCTTCTCCCATGTTCGAGATGGCCTTAATTTCGGTACACAGATTGGCTTCATATCAATTAGAGAATGAGGTACAGTAGGTTCTCTTTCCCCTCTCCCCACTTCTCCTTTCCCTCTACGCTCTCTCCTTTCTCTTTCCACCTTTTCCTCCCCTCATTTTTAAAAATAATTAATCATATTCAACTTCAAGCCTTTATTCCTATAGGAAGAATTAAGTTTCTATTTTTTAATGAAGCAACAGTGGTAGAGAAGTTAATTTTCAGTAGTATATTCTAACATAAAGAGCAGCCACGGCTTTTACTAGTTAATGAAGAACAGTCAGGCGGTCATACGTTAAAGGTATTAAAATAACTTATTCTTTAAAAAATATTCTGTAAGTATGCCCTTTATCTCGCCTATGTAGTTGACATCTGTATGTTTCCTATTATAACATCCCTTTTTAAAAAATTAAATTTGCTGGGGCAGTATTGGTTAATGACATTATATAAGTTTCAGGTATACAACTTTATAATACATGGAATGTATATTCCATTGTGCGCTCACTCTCAAAGTGTGGTCTCCTTGATCACCATGTATTTGACACCATTTACCCTCTTCATCCTTCCTCCACCCCTCTCCTTTTGGTGACCCCCATATTGTTATGTGTGTCTGTGAGTTTGTTTGCTCGTTGCTTTTTGTTTTATATTTCACGTATTACTGAAATCATATGGTTCTTGTCTTTTTTCATCTGACTTATTTCACTTAGCATGATACTCTGTAGATCCCTCCATATTTTTGCAAATGGCAATATTTCATCTTTTTTTATGGCTGAGTAGCATTCCATTGTGTATATGTATCACATCTTCACTATCTAATCATTGGTCAAAGGACACTTAAGTTATTTCTATGTCTTGGCTATTGAGAATAGTGCTGCAGTGAACAAGGGGTACATATATCTTTACATATAAGTATTTTTTTGGGTAAATACCCAGAAGAGGGATTATTGGGTAAATACCCAGAAGAGGGATTATTTGGGNCAAGTTTTTTGGGTAAATACCCAGAAGAGGGATTATTGGGTCATAATATCCTTATACNTTTGGGTAAATACCCAGAAGAGGGATTATTGGGTAAATACCCAGAAGAGGGATTATTTGGGTAAATACCCAGAAGAGGGATTATTGGGTCATAATATCCTTATACCTTCTTTAAAAAAAATTTTTTTTTTTTGGTTTTGAGAAGAAATCTTTGCATAAATATTCTAAGCTCTAGAAAATAAGAAATCCTCACATACACAAAACTGGTTTGGATTTCAACTAAATTTTTTCTAACTGATTATCTACAGCAGAAGTTGGCCAATTTTCTCTAAAGGACCAGATAGTAAATATTTTAGGCTTTGTGAGACATAAAATCTATGTCTCAGCTACTCAACTTTGCAGAACAAAAGCAGACAGGAACAATACAGAAACAAACGAGTATGGCTGTGTTTCAATAAAACTTTATTTACAAAAAACAGGTGAGGGGCCAAGTTTGGCCCATAGACTATAGTTTGCTGACACCTGATCTACAGTCATAGAGCAATATTGAATGCAGTTTCATTAAGTTATTTATTAGATTTTTTTTTAGTTATACAAAAATATTTCATGATAGTGATTTAACACTGACCCTTTAGCATATATCTAATTTTCCTTAAGGTTACTTTTAATTGAATTAATATTCTTCTTAGTCTTCAAAATGTCTTTAACCCTTTAACATACAAAAGAGTTTAACAGACTAAATGATTCTTACTTTGATATTATAATAGATTAGTAAGGATCTCATATTTGATTTCTATTTATTTTTACAGATACTTGACTGGATTTTTGCATAACTGTTTCCTGCCTCTTTCCAAACTGACTGCAAGAGAAAAATTTAGTTATTTGATTTACTTAATACTGAAAGGATTACAATGGAAAATTCATGTGTAGGGTAAATTTTCACTATTATCCAAAGTCAAATGTTGTTCATTTGATTATAACAATAACTGACAAAATAATCAGTGGGATGTGGCTTATACATTTTATATCAGTGAGGATTATTCTTAAAGTTTGTTCTCTCTATTTGTTACATAAATCAAGACTAGATCTTGCTCGTGGTCCTGGTTCAGTTCAGTATATATTGGGTTCCTCTGTCAGTCTTTGTGTGAAGCTTGGGTGAAATAAAAATGAGTAAGACCTTTTCCTTTTGAGTGTAATGTAGTGGAGGAGGTAGAAACTTCTAACATGTAAATTTAATTTTAATAGCAGTAGAAAAGTACAGAAGAAGGGAAGGATTAATAGTATCTAGAAGGCAGGATAGAGAAGATATTACAGAGAAAGTGACAGATCACATGGGCCTGAAAGATGTATAGGCTTTTAACAAATGAAAATAACCATAACAGATTGAGGGAACACCATGAACTAGGGNTACAGAGAAAGTGACAGATCACATGGGCCTGAAAGATGTAACAAATGAAAATAACCATAACAGATTGAGGGAACACCATGAACTAGGGCATGAAACTGAAAGTTTATAACATGTTCTAGAGAGAGAAGGGTGTGGACAGGAGTTACTGGAAAAACAGGTTGGAAACATTATTTAGGGTCTCAAATGTCATGCCAAAGCAGTTGGAGTTTATTTCCAGGCAAAGAGTAGACATAAAATGTGGGGGAGTTCTTTATGTTCTTGGCATCACATTGAGAATAGTCGGTAACTTTCCAATTTTTCACTGGGCATTATTTTGTTTGAAGTTTACAAGTTTACAGAATATTAGGTAGCTATATTTTACTTGTATGTGTGAAAATATTAAAAACCCAAATAAAAATTGTTTGATTATCTATGAGTTTGGATTATTTGTGCCAAAGCATATAGTGAAAAGTTGTCTTCTGTTTTATTGAGTGAAAAGTATTGATTCAGTAACTCAGAAACAAAATGACTAGGTTAGTCAGTGATTTTATCATTATTGCCTCTATAAGACCTCGGTCACGCTTAAGCATTTGTATATAGGTTTCTGGTGCTTTTAGTCTGCAGCCACAATGATAATTTTTTTTTTAAGTATTTTTTTTTTTTTTAATCTTCACCTGAGGATATGCTTTTTATTGATCCAAGAGAGAGAGGAAGGGAGAGGGAGAGAGAGAGAGGAATATCAATGTGAGATCGACCGGTTGCCTCCCATACATACTCAACTGGGGATGGAATCTGAAACCTCAGTATGTGTCCTGACAAGAAATCAAACCTATGGCTTTTCAGTGTACCAAAAACCAACCGAGCCACACCAGCCAAGGCCACGAAAATAATTTTTAATAAGTTTTGTTTTGTTTTCAATCTAAGCACTGTTACTTAACTTCACATAGGAAATATCAGTTGTAGTTTTATTAAGAAGAGAAATTAAGTTTGGAAATCAAACGATTTCATGACATGATTTGTTTAAAGGTACTAATTATCAAACTAAAATTTACTTGTAATTTTAAAATGTGAAGAATAGCATAGTTACTAAATGGGCTATACTCCATTACTTTTTAAAACACATAAAAAAATGATCTTTTCACTAGAAGGTAGTATTTCTATAAGTAGCTTTGCTCTTTTTTAAGATATAAAGTTGAACCAATCTTTATCTCTTAATTTACTTGTACAGGAAAAAAGGAGGGCATTTAATGTTAATGAATGTGTTGCTCTTACTTTAGATGTAATACGTTGTAGTTCAAATAGATAAAAGCATTTATGAACCCTCCCCCACCTGGATCTCATTTCTACAGAATCTCCAGTAACTCCTTTTCTGTAAGTAGATTTTTTGGGGGGAAATTTATAGAAAGTTACTTTGTCTTACATGACAAAAATATAAATAATGCCCATGGATTCAGAAGCTGGAAGGTAAGACGACAATGACATCTGAATTGCATCATTTTATGTCTCAAAGTGTGATTTTTTTTTTTTTACTAGACTGTCCTAAAGTTAAACTTAGATGTAATGGATACTTAGTGTATCCATTTTGCTTTTTATGTGAACTCTGAGAATGCCACCAACCTGTGAAAGTCTAGCATTTTAAAGAAAGCACTGCTCAGTTTTCTGTGTGCTTGTATGTATGGGTACAGTATATGGACCTCTGTGCATGTGCTAAATGGTAAACAAGAAATATGTATCTGCTATGTATGATCTATAACCTCTTGCTCTAGCTAATGTAAATTCACACAAATACATTAGATGCAGTAGAATTACAGAGTTCTCCCTATAAAGTGTTTATAAATTGTGCACTGAAGAATGTTTAGTGTAGTCCAGATGCCTACTGTATGTGTTTATGGGAACTCTGGCCTAGAGCATGTACATTTCCACTGTAGGCAGTTTCTAAACTTGTGATTTCAAAGGTGATACAGCTGCTGTAAATAATGGCATTGTTCTGTGCTAGGTCATTGCTTAATGAAGGAAAAGGAAATCTGCCAGTACTTTTTCCCTAACACATTTAGTTTGGACTCACGATGATCATATGTCAGTTGTGTGGAGACAAACACTTTACACACTCCTTAGATGTATTTTCTTTGTAGAGAAAAATGCTTACATCATGTTCCCTGTGTCTTTGTGCTAAATGTCTGAGGTAAACCATGTCCTCTGTATCTGGAGCAGACTCTTTTTTTTAAATTTAATTCTCAGGAGGCTGGGGTGTCCAGTTACTGTATTTTATTAAACAAAATTTCCAGTAGACTCTATAACTGAAAATACCACATTCCTTTCTAACAACAATAAAAGAAGAATACTCTCATTTCATGAGAAGCATTGGTAGAAAATAGTCTGTTCATGGTGACAATTGAGTTTTGAGTTTTTAATACGTTAATTTTTCTTAATTCTTAGTTTTGCATCACACATTGCTTTAGTTTGCATCTTACCAGTACTTCCATATTCTTTTCATTTCTGTAAGCATGTGTTTTAGAGTTGTATTTTCTTATCTACCTTCCCATGATTCTTGTTTTTATAATTGATACTTCATAAGGTAACTTAATTCTTTTGAGTTTTCTACTTTTAAATATATATTCAGACTTGGTTATAGAATTGCTTGTTAGACACTTCCTATGGGCCTCTCAAATACAACATCATTCAAACTCCACTTACCACTTCTCTCTAAAACCTGTTCCCCTCTGGTGTGCTATCTCAAAGAATGAAATTATTCAGGCAGTTGCCTCTCCAGAAACCCTAGAGTGTTGTGTGTTTTTTTAAAAAAAATATGTTTTCATTGATTTTAGAGAGAGAGAAGAAGGGAGAGGGAGAGAGAGAGAGAGAAACATCAATGAGANCCTCCAGAAACCCTAGAGTGTTGTGTGTTTTTTAAAAAAAAATATGTTTTCATTGATTTTAGAGAGAGAAGAAGGGAGAGGGAGAGAGAGAGAGAGAAACATCAATGAGAGAGAAACATCAACATTGATCAGCTGCCTCCTGCACATCCCCTGCTGAGGATCAAGCCAGCAACCCGGGCATTTGCCCTGACTGGAATCGAACTGTCTACCTCCTGGTGTGTGGGTCAGTGCTCAACCACTGAGCCACACTGGCTGGGCAGAAACCCTAGAGTATTTCTGAATGCCTGCCTTTCCTTCACCCCTTCCCTTCCCTCACTACAGACTGAATCTACTATCTATCCCTATGTCTCTATCTCATCTTCCACAGACATTCAATTCATCTCATGTACTTCATTAGAGCAGCCTTCTAACTAGTCCTTTCTCATTGAATCCCTTTTTATACTGCTATGGTGATTGCTCTAAAATACAAATCTGGTCATATTACATACCTCAGAATTATTCTGTCGCTTTTTCACTCTTTCCAAGATAAGGACCTGCTCACTAAAGTTTATAACTGCTGTCATCATATCATCCCACTTACCTCTTCAAGTTCCACCACTCCCCACTCAATACCATATATTCCAGACATTCTGTACTTTTTTCATTTCCTAGAATTTGCCATTAAGCTAGGTCAGATCACAGAGGCAGGTTTGCATTCAAAGACTGATTAGAACTCAAATTGGGTTCAAGGTTACTTTCACTTAGGCTTTCTACTAAATTAGCAAACAACCAGTGCCAAGGACAGATGCAATATATACATCTAAGTAAATGGATACAGCACTATAGTGTCCCCCTAGTTCCTCATGGAGATATGACCAAAGTTACATTGTTAATGTAGTAATGCACAGTGAGTAGTATGTCTGGCCATATATGGAAGCTCAGTAGCTTTTGTTCTATTAGGCAGGGTGAGGGGGCATGTTAATGTTTAAAGGTCTGCCTTCTACCATATAAGGTAAGTTTTGGTATATCTAAAAACATGAACTTTTTTTTTCTGTGTCATTGGGTCCATAGCAGGTCTTGTCATGATCTCCCACAGACATGCTTACTCTTGCCCCCTGGTTTCGTACCTTATGCCAGTTCTGTATGCACAGTAATTCTCAACCCTACTTCTCTTGAATAACTCATATCTATCCTTTCAGACTTGCATCAGGGGTCACCTCTTCAGAACATTTTCCTTGGTGGTTGGTCTCACTAGCATCCTGTGCATTATTTTTTATAGTCCTTATTGTGCTGAGTTTTAAATGTTGGTCTGTTTACTGTCTACTACTAAACAAGAGTTCCAGCATCTCATATTTTTAGTCTCTAGCAAGAATATTAACACAACGTAATCAATATCTATCGAAGAAAAAAGGGAGGGAGGAAAGGAAAGAAATAATCTAATACAAAGTCTAAAAGGATAAAGATAAATCATTTGTGTGTGTGTGTGTGTTGTCAATTTTCACCAGGTACTTTTATAGCTTCAATATTTAGATAAATTTATGTAAATAATAATGATACATTAAAGTAATTCTAAGGAAAGAACATTTGTAATGGAGATACGTTTTAAAGTGCTAAGCCTGCCTGGCCGGGTGTGGCTCAGCGGTTGAGCATCGACCTAGGATC